CTGCCAAGGTTACGTAAAAACAGTGTCTTTTACATTAGAGTAGCGCATCATTGCCTTATCCAGCAAGGGGTGCTGGAGGAAGGACAAAACATGGACCCTGGGTCTAAGGCCCCTGCTTTGGACCGTCCGTGAACCTAGCTAATTTTATTAACCCGAAAAACAGATCAAGAAGAAATGATAGGTAATAAGGTAGAAATAAATATCGCGGCAGCGAAAAGGAAAATCTCTGGAAGACACGATAGTAAGATCCAAAGCTATAAAAAAAGAAATGGTTATTGACAGGTGTCTTGTTTGCCTGTCAACACCTTTTGAAAATTATTTTATTATTCATTTATCTTATTTCATAATTAAGTCCAATCCTGTTCTTTTGTTCTTTCTTACCCTTGGCACGTGTTTTTCAATGTTTGTTTACATTTGTGCTCGTTTCCGCTTCGGGCTGATTGGCGGAAATCTGACAGCTAAGTTGACGTTCAGCTACGGGGGAATTGGACAGGGTGAATTCACATTCCAGAGACATAGTTGCAAGCTCTCCTTCATTTACCCTCCCTGCCGCCAGAGCGCCCCGGAGAGCTTGCTCGCAGGCTAACAATTTTGCCCTATGTAAGGCCTGTAAGGTAATCCGGAATCTGGAATCCTGGTCTTTGGAATCTAAGTTCCACTGACAAGGAGTCTAGAGTTTAGTTCATGAAATCCGGAATTCACAGCAAAGTTTTCAGTGTCTAAGACTGTCTTTGATTACCTTGCAAATGGGTGACACGGTCCCTTGGGAGTTCTTAACTTTGTTTACAGTTGAACCTCTCAACAACGGCCACCTTGGAAACAGGTGGCCGTTGCAGAGAGGTGGCCATTCTAGAGAGGTTTAAAGACTCTAAATAAGAGTCATTATTATTCATTCAAAATATTTCTCCGATTCTGATTGGCTAAAAGCACACGCATAATTCACCATACCCAGCTACTGATGACCAAATTTGGAAGAATTTTGCGATTAATGAACCGATGACGTCAAACGTGCAGCCTCCTTGCAGGTGCATCGTTAACCGAGAAGACCTGGCGACGAGGTTGAGTTGTTTTAATTGTGAAAAAAAGGCAGACATTTCAGTCGTTTCAAGAATAAGAACAAGGCAAAATAATAGCTAAAAACATGGCAAAAACAGCAAGAAGACAATTCGAAGAACGACGTCTGCTATTTGGAGAATATTTGCCGAGCTGACCAGCCCTTAACGTGCAATATCGAAGATGAACTTAACATTTATGGAGCTAAGCATGTTTTAGGTATGTTTTTAAACTAGGAATTATTTTGAAAGAATAATAAAACAATGGATTTGGCTTTCGTATCATATGAAGAATTAACTTACTTTAACTCCTAATTTAACTCCGAATTTGGGGTCAAAAGAGTTCTTTTTACTCCCAGTCTGGAGATAAAATAACTCGGAAATAGGGTTATTTTTACTCCTTACATGGGTTGTTTTTACTCTTTTTGGAATTAATTTAACTCTGAAAGTGGAGTAAAGCTTTTAGGTACAGGATAACTCCTTTTTTGGGTCTATTTTAACTCCTCAATATCTGGGGGCACTTTTACTCCTGAGAAAGAGTTCTTTAAACTCCTTTTTGGAGTCCACTGTAAGGAGTTAAATTAGCCCCACTAGAGTAGTTATTATAACTCCTTGAAAATTACTGTGCGTATGGACTTTTCCCCTGAAAATTTCAAATTACGTTTTGAGATAATTATAAAGAGAAATTAAGCATCAAGAGAGAGAAATAAGGGTCATTTTTATAAAGGGTACCAGGTCTAATTATATAAAGATTTACTTTCAAATCAAAAGGTGTATTTTCATATTTTATTTTAGTACAGTGTAACAAGGGTGATTGGTGTGTTTCAAGCCAGCCTTGCTAAATAATCCGCTGAAAAATTAAAAAGATCTGTTTCAGCACAGGGCGTCCACACTCACGAGAGGCTACTGGAAGCCAAATTATAAGGATTTGTTTGGAAATTTATCTTAAGATCAATAGAACGGTTAAAATAATGTACATAAACAGCTACTAAAGTATACATACCTTATAAAGAATTGTTTCCTGCTGTTAGCTATAAACGCTATTTTAGCAAGTTAATGGCTTTTTACAGTATGTGCATTTTAACCTTTTTATCAATTTTACGATAAATTCCCATACAAATGGACTTATCTTTTGGCTTCTGTCTAGTGGGCTGTTGTGAGTCTGGGTACCCTGTGGTACAGTCGTCAAAACTGAAAGCCAGTTTAATAACCCTGCACGCTCCAGTCTATTTAGTCTCTTCTGGAGCCATTTGAATTTGAGCACAGTTCACCAAAAAAGCCCCATCAAATGTCAATTCCGGTCGATGCTAGGGCTCATTTCACCTCGTGGGCCTAAAATCAATCTTAAGTAATTCGACTGCATTGGCCCTTATTAAGGGAGCCAACTCCAAAAATGGCTCTGTATTTAATTTTTAATTTACAGTGTTTAGTGAGGCCAGTAGCCGATGAAAAAAGAGGTGCAGTAACTACAGATGAGCATCGTTAAAATTGCGTTTACCCAACTAATATCAGGGGCGCAACAAACATTTTTGTAAAAATAACTGTTCGAAGCAGCAAGTATTGCCCAAAAAGATTTTGGGACGTTGTGTTTTCAAAGACCTCCTTACGATTTAGATATTACGGCAAATTAAAGGCGTGTCCTAGAATCTTCTAACGAAAGTACGTACGGCTACTCCATGTGTTCCAACTTTCGACTAATATATTGCGGGAGGCACAATGTCTCAAAAATCGTTGTCCAGATGAACACATATGAATCTTCATAATTAATTGATTTCATTTGAAATCTGGAACAACGACGTACTCATTCCGGGCGTCGTATCGTGGTCTAAGCGAAGCAATAGCAGGTGGCGATGAGGCCCGAGTTTTCTTAAGCTTCCAGCAAAACCAAGCAGGAAAGGTGATAACAGTGATAATCACAGTTGCCAAAAGTCCAATCAAGAGCCAGGGGTATCTTAAACTATTAATCCAACTTTTCTTTTCTGCAGGCCTCTCTCTTTTCTGACCACCAGCTTCGCTCGAATCTGTTCAAGACAGAAAATAGAACTAAGAACGACTTCGATACTTTTTCATCTCAACGGTGGTTATGCATGCATGTTTATTTGCCTGTGACCTACAATAGGTACCATAATAGCACCACTTCGACTATTGTAAATTCACCTAACCCAATTTCTTTTTTTTTTTTTTTAATGGAAATATATGAAATGACTCATACCTGATTTTGAACTGCCGATAAAGATATGAAAATGAAATGATCCTCACAGTTAAATTAAATAAACAACCTATAGTAAGTGGTTGAAAAAGTCAGGCCTGACCGGGAAATGAACCCTGGTCTTTGCAGTGCCGGATCCATACCTTGAGATAAGGAGGGGGGGCTCAGTTTGGTCTAAAAATAAGGGGCGCCCCCCCCCCCCTCCTCTGGATCTGCCACTGCTTTCCGATGACCGGACGCAACGCTCTATCCATTGAACTAATCAAGCCAACAGGGGAGCAGGCAATTGTGCCGAGTTCGTTAAGCCCAGTTCAAACTTCGATCTTTTCATGTACCGAACCTAATCCCCAATCGACGTTTGAATCAATTGAGTTTGACATACCGTAAAATTCCGTAAAATAAGCCCCGGGACATATATTTTTCAAAGGCCCTTTTGAGAGGCTTATTTTTTGGAGGGTCTTATATTCGGAGGGCCTTCCATACGGAGGGAAATTTGTGTTTCAAAATCGGCTAGGCTTATACTGCGAGGGAAATTTGCGCCTCAAAATCGATTGGGCTAGCTTATAGTTGGAAGGGAATTTACGTCCATAATTTGCAGAAAGATTTTACTGAAACTTGCGATCGCCTTGAGGACGTAGATCTTTCTAAACCTCAGCTCTACAAGTACTTTGTCTATATGGACCGAGGAAATTAAAGCCTAGAGTGAAGAATGAACTACGCAAACAGCACTACTGAATCATTACTGTGACAATGTTTGACTGCACAAGTAATAATTCTTTGGCAAATGCAAAAATTTCTGAGTAACTGCTTACAGTTTTTGCTTACTTTAATTTGAATCTGACGGCAATTTCCATCCCAATTCCCATCGGGTATATTACGAACTAGCGCTGGCATAACGCTTTCTCGGTGCCCCAGAAGTTGTGATGACATTGCAAATAGACAAAAATTCACTCACAGTGTTACTAAATATCTCATTGGATTTAACCTATTCTTACCATTTAGAGACGGAATTGTTGCTGAGGTCGTGGAGGTACTTCCGTCTTCGCTACGGATTTCGTCTGCATGGAAAACAAACAATGTCTTAGTGCCCTCACGCATTATGTATTGATCTAATTTGTAGCATTGACTAGCTAATGGCCTAGCTTATCCGGTCATAAATAATAATAATAGTAATGAATAATAATAATAATAATAATAATAATAATAATAATAACAGAGGGATACCGGTTATCCAAGCCTATAGGAGTCAAAGTCTCCGATCTCCTGTATATCGACGACCTCAAGGTTTTTGCTGCCTCCGCGAGCAAGCTGAACCGAGTGCTGAAAGAGACTAGAGGAGCGATGCAGGACATCGGCCTCCACTGGAATCAGAAAAAGTGCTCAGTGGTACACGTGAAGAGGGGAGCCCAAGTGCTAGACGAGTCTGGTATGAGGATGGACGAGACAACTACCATCACGGCTCTTCGGGAAGGAAAACACTACAAATTCCTGGGCGTGCTAGAGAACGTTCGACAGGATGAACGGCTGGCCCTAGCTTGTGCGGCTAAAGAGTATCTACGCAGGATATCTATTAAATGGTCCAGCCCCCTCTCTGATTGTAACCGTGTGCAGGCAACTAATCAGTATGCACTCCCGGTCCCGCGGTACTTAATGTGGACACAGTATTGGCCTCTATCAGAGTTAAGAGATGTGGACAGAGAAGCTCGGAAAACAATAATTGAGAACGGTGGCAAGCACCCAGCTAGCCTGACTTCTTTGTTATATCTACCGAGGGAGAAAGGGGGTAGAGGCGTGCGATCAGTCGAACACGAGTACAAGATCACTAAAATCAAATCGCTACTGAAATTGTATCAGAACCCGGACCAGACTGTGGAAGCAGTTAAAGAATTTGAAGAACACGCCATGGCATCAGGCCACCAGTCGCTCGTAAAGGAAGCAGCTAAGTACGCCGAAGAACTCAACATCACACTTCATCTTGATACCCTAAATCCCGTGTGTGTTACAACAGAAGGAAAGGTGGTAGCTGCGGCAAGAGCTGGGAATCTGTTGAAGCAATCTCAAGAGAAGCCGTTCTTGGAGATCGCTAAAGACAAAAAGTGGCAAGGAAAGTTATTCCGTATCAGATGGGAAGATGAGAGCCTAAGCATAACCAGCTGCTTTGCATGGTTAAAAAGTTGGGCTACATGCCCCACATATACCATCGCGGGCATGTATGAATTGTATGAGCAGTTGTTACCTACGAAGCTCTACACAAAGGAGAAGACGCAAACCTCCACCGACGGCGAAGTTCTATGCAGGTTATGTGTGAAGGTAGCTGAGAGCGTTGCACATGTATTGGCTGGATGTTCCTCCCCGGCACAAACCAAGTACCTATACAGGCATAATGCAGCTTTGAAGATTCTGTTTTATGAGCTCCTACGAGGGCATGGGTTAACAGAAGAGGTTCCACCGTGTTACTCACCGGTGATGCCAAAACCAGCCCTGGATTTGCCCCTGGATTGAGAGTAGAACTAAGAAAGATGAGGAAAATACACTCAAGTATGTACCCATAATGTGGGAGCTGAAGCAGAGATACAATGGTTACAGGGTTGAACAGTACAACGTAATAATTGACGTACTGTGGGGTTACTCTAAACACCTAGAGAAGTCGGTGAGGAAGCTACTTGGAGCGAGAGCACGGAGCGTACTTGAGCGGATGTAGAAGTCGGTCATCTCAAACACTTTAAACATTGCCAGAACATTTTAGATAAATACTTAGTTAGGGCGCTAAGGACTTCAGTTTTTAGGTTTTTGTTTTTTCTCTAGAAATCTAGAAACACAAGCTTGCTGACGTTTTTACTTAGATTTTTTAGAACATTAGAGTTTGATATTATTATAAGTAATCTTTTAGTAGAGATAGCGAAGGTTTTACAGAGTATCAGAATTTAATATTTAATATTCTAAATTGGCCTTTAAGTAGAGAGATTCATATCACTGTGTATTTTAGGATCGTATTAGGTTTCGTATCGACCTTTTTTTACTTCTAAGTATAGCTTCTCAAGTGGTGTAAGTTACGCTATGCGCCCTATACGACTCATAATGTGGACAGCATTCCAAAGTTTCATCCTGCGACATAATAATAATAAGACCGGCCTTAACTAAGCGGGAGTTGAAACGGATCTTGAAATTGCGCAGAGTAACTATGGTGCTAGTCATAATTGGCCCAATAATAACTGCAATAGAAACTGTCTCGAAAGGCATAGACAAGTGTTTAGCAGAGATTGCTGTCACCTGTCTTTCAGAATCATTGCAGAGAGCGTGCTTAATTACTGGGTACAGCCAGAATCCTTCGCAAAGTCCTAGACACCTAAGATCACGGGCAATGACTTAATGTTTAAGGGAGACTCCAGCAAGCCATTCAGAAGCTGTGTTTAATAAGTTATCATCAGCATCATCAATATCATCATCATCATCATCAATATCATCATCATCATCATCCTCATCATCATCATTATCATTATTATCATTATCATTATTATTATTATTATTATTATTATTATTATTGACGTCGAAGTTGTTGAAGGAGCCATTTAATCGGACTAGTGATGTGTTTTCTAACTTTTAAATGGCAAATATTCGTCATTAACACATTGTGAACGCTATTTAATTTCCCCTTTTTTAGTGATTTTTTGTCAGTGATTGTCTTAATTTGAATAATTTTTGTTTTAATAATGTAATCAAGTTTTTTCTAATCAAAACTAAGCATTTTTTTAACGAAAGGAATTGTAAATAGTCTTTTGACAAAATAGTTTTTTTAAGTGAATTAATTGTAAATAAGATTTTAATAGTTAGCATTGTTATCAATAGAATTATTATTATTATTAATTAAATTATTATTATCATTATTATCATCATTATAAACTATACCGATATAAAAGAAGAGAGAGATGTTGGGATATTAAAAAAGATCTTCAACTAATTAATTTGGTGTAGACTAACGAGAGTTGGGTAGATTACAATGGAACTTCCCTATTAAGAGGACCTTCTAGGTTCAGAACCTTAGAGGTTCATGTTATTGCTAGAAAACTGGATCTGTTCCTCCAACAGCGCTCTTGCTCTCATCTAACAATAAAAATCACTAACGTCTGAACGGGCAACATTAGCCGAAGACTATGACGTTAGACGAGAAAGGTAAATTTCCACTGCCGCGTAATTTTTACCAGCGTAAATAAAATAGAGGCAATGTATTAAAGGTCGCGCTTAAATGTAAAAGTTGAGTGACCTTTCATACATTGCCTCTATTTTATTTACGCGCATACGCACGTAGAAATGTTCGCGACAGTGGAAATCCACCCTTGTGTTGGGTTTCATAAATTTGCACTCTGACGTAGAAGTATTTCTTCGTTGGCTACAGCTTTTTCAAACAAACATTGTCGGAAGAAGAGCTGCTAGAAAACCTGTAAGTCATGAATAGTGGTAGTACATTTTCTCCATAAACTGAAATCACTCCACTAACTTCGCGACGCCACCGTTTGTGTACTTGAGAAATGCCGTCTGAGGGACAGAAATATCTGTAGAAATTCCATACTGATGACGTATCATTAGCCAGAATTGGGTGTTGCTTTTGACTGGTCATGCGCGGGGAAAATTTTCTTCAACTAATCAGAAGCTCCACTACACAGATCTGTATAGGTAGTGATACGTCACAAGTGTGGAATTTCTGTGCTCGTTTCTCCGACGTAATTTCGCGAGCAAACCTGTTTTCCCAGGCTAACTGATGACTATATATGGTTTACTAGATGTAAGATAAATAACTTAATCTCAGTGATTTTGCTTCTGTTTTCAATGCAATTGTTGTGCAGAAAAGTACGAAAAATTCACTTTTTGCTGAAAAATAGCTCTGTGGCTAGACCTCATGTCACCAATAACGGCTATCTCGTAACCATGGTAAAAGGGTGTCATTGATGAGCGTGAAAATTCTGTCTTACTCTCTATGAAAATATCTGTCTGTTCACAAGTAAATTTTAATACTCATTTTCAAAATTAAATGATTATGCTTTACGCCTTGCTTTGCCAAGAGAGTATCTCGAAACTCAGGCCGTATAGGAGCCCATCGTAGGCTCCTGGGCCGTCTGAATGTACACTGAGAAGAAAATAGCACATAGTTAGAGCGTTCTTTAAAAGAGCTATAGTAAGAATTCATTACTAAATTCATTCGACCGAGCTAGGTCCGTCGGGCGTTGAATTGCTGCTGGGGAAGGATTAGATAGATTAAGTTTCGCTTGTTTGACCGCTTTTTTTTTATAATTACGATTATGGGCAACCACTTACCAATCTTTTCGTGAACTATTATGTAAGCGTTCCGCAGAGCATAACCAAATGAGTTTCTCACAAGGCAAGTGTACTTTCCTTCACTTTTCTTTGTAACGTTATCCAAAGTCAAAGTGACTTCATGGAAAGCGTGCCTGCTATTGCTAGTGCTAAGCCAATTAATGGGAGCTTGCTGGTTCTGTTTTATGACTTCATACTGCAATTTGCTGCCTTCAGTGCTGTTACCAGAGCTGTTGAAATGCATTGGAAACCATCGTAACCACTGGAAATGAGGCATAGCATCACTATATGCCCTGCATAGCAACGTGGCGCTTTCGCCAACAAAAGCAGTTGCGTTTATCATCGGAATGACAACTGGCTTGGCACGGGCTCGTTCTATGTGTACGAAAGAGAAAAAAAGATGGTCATACTATGAGAGTATCGTTGAAGTAATGACAAGCTGAAGGACTTTATGCATATATATGCACAATAGACTCGACTGAAGGAGTGTCCAAAATGAAACGGCCATTTTTTTTCTTCCAATTCGCCATGGACTGTAAATGTTTGTGAATCTGAGTTACACAATCATGTAAAAGTGAAGTCATTTTGCAGACAAAAGCACTTTTTTCACAAAATCGACTTTCTTCAGCTTTGAAGTGTTAATTTTAGATTGTTTTTAAGTAAGTAAGTAAGTAAGTAAGTAAGAACTTTATTATAAAAGTGAACGAGAAAAAGTACGACATTTTCTCCATAAAACGTGTAACTAAGAAGTTTCTGCCGGGCAGTTTAACGTTGTAGTCGTGCAAAACAACGGCAAAGAAATGTACAAAAAAAGCGTGCTGCACGAGCAAAGTTGCTTTTTTGCTAATTAGACCTATTGTTGTTTTTGACCCTTCTCCGGCGTTGCCTTCGCCGCTTAGCACTACACGATTTTATATTTTGTTTGAGCAAAATATAAATATTATCGAGAGCTTCGCTTTTATCCCTGGCTAAATCTATATATTAGTTTCGAGGTCGCTAGCATACACAGGGCTGTTAATAAGGGCCGGTAGCCGGCCAAAACGGCCTGCTACTTAGCCATCCTTTCATCTCCTTCTACCATAACTGCTAGAGTATGACTCTCCTGTCCTCTCCTGTGGGCAGGGGAGTCATGTCAAATGCTCCCTTCTCTCGTACCTTGCATTCTCGGCTCCAACCGCCTTTTTGGCTTCCTCCCTTTAGCCTTTTTTTTCGATTCAAAAATATAAAGCATTACCGCATAGTTCCTCCCTATTTCTCCTGCTTTCCACACTTATAGAACTCCCAACTCCCGCCCTTTCCTCTCTCGCCTCCCCTACCTCTCCCTCCCCAAGCAATAAAGCTCTTGATAAGAGGGGTTGTGGCTGTAATTCATGTGAGTCAAAGCAATTCCTTACCACGCACGTCAACATAGTATGAATGGTTGATCCATCCAAGATGGTTACTGACGTTACAGGTGTATGTTCCAGTATCTGACGGTACCACGTCTTTTAAACGGAACACATACTTTCCATCCAAGTATAGCAAACGACCTCTTCTCTCGTCAAAGGGTTTTCCGTTCTTGTACCATGCTATCGTGGGGTGAGGATATCCTTTAGCGGAACAGTCAAGTTTTACTGAGTTGCCGACCGGTAGGGCTATCAGTGTTTTTTGTAGCTTGCGTTTTGACACAGTAAACCTCGGGGCCGCTATAAGAAGAAAGCGAAGGGTGTTTGTGTTAAAAGAAAACCATTGCCTGCTTGTTAAGCTATAAGGAAGTGCCCTACTCGTTGCTATTCTTACCTGATGTTAAATTCCTGTTCACTGTAGGTGTAGGCAGCACTTTAAACAACAACAACAATCAAACAAAAAAGAATAATCATAGCCAGAAACTTTAAAACAATTTCAAGCATGCATGTTTATTTGCTTGTGACCTACAATGGGTACCATAATGGCACCATTTCGACTCTTTGGAATTCACCTAACCTGAGTTCGCTGCTGAGGTCGTGGAGGTACTTCCGTCTTCGCTACGGATTTCGTCTGCATGGAAAACAAACAATTTCTTAGTGCTCTCACGCATTATGTATTGATCTAATTTGTAGCATTGACTAGCTAATGGCCTACTATTTCGGTCATAAATAATAATAATAATAATAGTAATTAATAATAATAATAAGTAATAATAAGACCGGCCTTAAGCGGGAGTTGAAACGGATCTGGAAATTGCGCAGAGTAACTATGGTGCCAGTCATAATTGGTGCAATAATAACTGCAATAGAAACTGTCTCGAAAGGCATAGACAAGTGGTTAGCAGCGATTGGTGTCACCTGTCTTTTAGAATCATTGCAGAGAGCGTGCCTAATTACTGGGTATAGCCAGAATACTTCGCAAAGTCTTAGACACCTAAGGTCACGGGCAGTGACTTGATGTTTAAGGGAGACTTCAGCTAGACATCCAGAAGCTGCGTTTAATGAGTTATCATCATCATCATCAATATCGTGATCATGATAATGATCATTATCATTATCATTATTATATTATATTATTATTATTATTATTATTGACGTCGAAGTCGTTGAAGGAGCCATTCAATCGGACTAGTTATGTGTTTCCTTACTTTTAAATGGCAAATATTCGTCATTAACACACTGTGAACGCTATTTAATATCCCCCCTTTTTTAGTGATTTGTTTTTAGTGATTGTCTCAGTAAGAATGCAACTGACCTTGAAAATAGTTTCTTCTTTTTCTAATCGAAATGAATTGTTTTAATTGAAATGCAATGTTCTTAATTTGTATAATTTTTGTTTAAAGTAATGAATTTTTTTCTAATCAAAACTAAGTGTTTTTTTGACGAAAGGATTGACTGTAAATAGTCCTTCGACGAAACAGTTTTTTTTAAGTGAATGAACTGTAAATAAGATTTTAATAGTTAGCATTGTTATCAATAGAATTATTATTATTATTATTATTGAATTATTGTTATTATTATTATCATCATTATAAACTATAACGATATAAAAGAAGAGAGAGATGTTGGGATATTGAAAAAGATCCTCAACTAATTAATTTGGTGTAGACTAACGAGAGTTGGGTAGATTACAATGGAACTTCCCTATTAAAAGGACCTTTTTTATAAGGTTCAGAACTTTAGAGGTTCATGTTATTGCTAGAAAACTGGATCTGTTCCTCCAACAGCGCTCTTGCTCTCATCAAACAATAAAAATCACTAACTTCTGAACGGGCAACATTACCCAAAGACTATGACGTTAGACGATAAAGGTAAATTTCCACTGCCGCGTAATTTTTACCAGCGTAAATAAAATAGAGGCAATGTATTAAAGGTCGCGCTTAATTGTAAAAGTTGAGTGACCTTTCATACATTGCCTCTATTTTATTTACGCGCATACGCACGTAGAAATGTTCGCGACAGTGGAAATCCACCCTTGTGTTGGGTTTCATAAATTTGCACTCTGACGTAGAAGTATTTCTTCGTTGGCTACAGCTTTTTCAAACAAACATTGTCGGAAGAAGAGCTGCTAGAAAACCTGTAAGTCATGAATAGTGGTAGTACATTTTCTCCATAAACTGAAATCACTCCACTAACTTCGCGACGCCACCGTTTGTGTACTTGAGAAATGCCGTCTGAGGGACAGAAATATCTGTAGAAATTCCATACTGATGACGTATCATTAGCCAGAATTGGGTGTTGCTTTTGACTGGTCATGCGCGGGGAAAATTTTCTTCAACTAATCAGAAGCTCCACTACACAGATCTGTATAGGTAGTGATACGTCACAAGTGTGGAATTTCTGTGCTCGTTTCTCCGACGTAATTTCGCGAGCAAACCTGTTTTCCCAGGCTAACTTATGACTATATATGGTTTACTAGATGTAAGATAAATAACTTAATCTCAGTGATTTTGCTTCTGTTTTCAATGCAATTTTGTGCAGAAAAGTACGAAAAATTCACTTTTTGCTGAAAAATAGCTCTGTGGCTAGACCTCATGTCACCAATAACGGCTATCTCGTAACCATGGTAAAAGGGTGTCATTGATGAGTGTGAAAATTCTGTCTTACTCTCTATGAAAATATCTGTCTGTTCACAAGTAAATTTTAATACTCATTTTCAAAATTAAATGATTATGCTTTACGCCTTGCTTTGCCAAGAGAGTATCTCGAAACTCAGGCCGTATAGGAGCCCATCGTAGGCTCCTGGGCCGTCTGAATGTACACTGAGAAGAAAATAGCACATAGTTAGAGCGTTCTTTAAAAGAGCTATAGTAAGAATTCATTACTAAATTCATTCGACCGAGCTAGGTCCGTCGGGCGTTGAATTGCTGCTGGGGAAGGATTAGATAGATTAAGTTTCGCTTGTTTGACCGCTTTTTTTTTTTTATAATTACGATTATGGGCAACCACTTACCAATCTTTTCGTGAACTATTATGGAAGCGTTCCGCAGAGCATAACCAAGTGAGTTTCTCACAAGGCAAGTGTACTTTCCTTCACTTTTCTTTGTAACGTTATCCAAAGTCAAAGTGACTTCATGGAAAGCGTGCCTGCTATTGCTAGTGCTAAGCCAATTAATGGGAGCTTGCTGGTTCTGTTTTATGACGTCATACTGCAATTTGCTGCCTTCAGTGCTGTTACCAGAGCTGTTGAAATGCATTGGAAACCATCGTAACCACTGGAAATGAGGCATAGCATCACTATATGCCCTGCATAGCAACGTGGCGCTTTCGCCAACAAAAGCAGTTGCGTTTATCATCGGAATGACAACTGGCTTGGCACGGGCTCGTTCTATGTGTACGAAAGAGAAAAAAAGATGGTCATACTATGAGAGTATCGTTGAAGTAATGACAAGCTGAAGGACTTTATGCATACATATGCACAATAGACGCGACTGAAGGAGTGTCCAAAATGAAACGGCCATTTTTTTTCTTCCAATTCGCCATGGACTGTAAATGTTTGTGAATCTGAGTTACACAATCATGTAAAAGTGAAGTCATTCTGCAGACAAAAGCACTTTTTTCACAAAATCGAATTTCTCCAGCTTTGAAGTGTTAATTTTAGATTGTTTTTAAGTAAGTAAGTAGGTAAGTAAGTAGGTAAGTAAGTAAGTAAGTAAGTAAGTAAGTAAGTGAGAACTTTATTATAAAAGTGAACGAGAAAAAGTACGACATTTTCTCCATAAAACGTGTAACTAAGAAGTTTCTGCCGGGCAGTTTAACGTTGTAGTCGTGCAAAACAACGGCAAAGAAATGTACAAAAAAAGCGTGCTGCACGAGCAAAGTTGCTTTTTTGCTAATTAGACCTATTGTTGTTTTTGACCCTTCTCCAGCGTTGCCTTCGCCGCTTAGCACTACACGATTTTATATTTTGTTTGAGCAAAATATAAATATTATCGAGAGCTTCGCTTTTATCCCTGGCTAAATCTATATATTAGTGTTGAGGTCGCTAGCATACACAGGGCTGTTAATAAGGGCCGGTAGCCGGCCAAAACGGCCTGCTACTTAGCCATCCTTTCATCTCCTTCTACCATAACTGCTAGAGTATGACTCTCCTGTCCTCTCCTGTGGGCAGGGGAATCATGTCAAATGCTCCCTTCTCTCGTACCTTGCATTCCCGGCTCCAACCGCCTTTTTGGCTTCCTTCCTTTAGCCGTTTTTTTCGATTAAAAAATATAAAGCATTACTGCATAGTTCCTCCCTATTTCTCCTGCTTTCCACACTTATAGAACTCCCAACTCCCGCCCTTTCCTCTTTCGCCTCCCCTACCTCTCCCTCCCCAAGCAATGAAGCTCTTGATAAGAGGGGTTGTGGCTGTAGTTCATGTGAGTCAAAGCAATTCCTTACCACGCACGTCAACATAGTATGAATGGTTGATCCATCCAAGATGGTTACTGACGTTACAGGTGTATCTTCCAGTATCTGACGGTACCACGTCTTTTAAACGGAACACATACTTTCCATCCATGTATAGCAAACGACCTCTTCTCTCGTCAAAGGGTTTTCCGTTCTTGTACCATGCTATCGTAGGGTGAGGATATCCTTTAGCGGAACAGTCAAGTTTTACTGAGTTGCCGACCGGTAGGGCTATCAGTGTTTTTTGTAGCTTGCGTTTTGACACAGTAAACCTCGGGGCCGCTATAAGAAGAAAGCGAAGGGTGTTTGTGTTAAAAGAAAACCATTGCCTGCTTGTTAAGCTATAAGGAAGTGCCCTACTCGTTGCTATTCTTACCTGATGTTAAATTCCTGTTCACTGTAGGTGTAGGCAGCACTTTAAACAACAACAACAATCAAACAAAAAAGAATAATCATAGCCAGAAACTTTAAAACAATTTCAAGCATGCATGTTTATTTGCTTGTGACCTACAATGGGTACCATAATGGCACCATTTCGACTCTTTGGAATTCACCTAACCTGAGTTCGCTGCTGAGGTCGTGGAGGTACCTACGTCTTCGCTACGGATTTCGTCTGCATGGAAAACAAACAATTTCTTAGTGCCCTCACGCATTATGTATTGATCTAATTTGTAGCATTGACTAGCTAATGGCCTACTATTCCGGTCATAAATAATAATAATAGTAATTAATAATAATAATAATAAGTAATAATAAGACCGGCCTTAAGCGGGAGTTGAAACGGATCTGGAAATTGCGCAGAGTAACTATGGTGCCAGTCATAATTGGTGCAATAATAACTGCAATAGAAACTGTCTCGAAAGGCATAGACAAGTGGTTAGCAGCGATTGGTGTCAACTGTCTTTTAGAATCATTGCAGAGAGCGTGCCTAATTACTGGGTATAGCCAGAATACTTCGCAAAGTCTTAGACACCTAAGGTCACGGGCAGTGACTTGATGTTTAAGGGAGACTTCAGCTAGTCATCCAGAAGCTGCGTTTAATGAGTTATCATCATCATCATCAATATCGTGATCATGATAATGATCATTATCATAATTATTATTATGTTATTATTATTATTGACGTCGAAGTCGTTGAAGGAGCCATTCAATCGGACTAGTTATGTGTTTCCTTACTTTTAAATAGCAAATATTCGTCATTAACACATTGTGAACGCTATTTAATATCCCCCTTCATAGTGATTTGTTTTTAGTGATTGTCTTAGTAAGAATGCAACTGACCTTGAAAATAGTTTCTTCTTTTTCTAATCGAAATGAATTGTTTTAATTGAAATGCAATGTTCTTAATTTGTATAATTTTTGTTTAAAGTAATGAATTTTTTTCTAATCAAAACTAAGTGTTTTTTGACGAAAGGATTGACTGTAAATAGTCTTTCGACGAAATAGTTTTTTTAAGTGAATTAACTGTAAATAAGATTTTAATAGTTAGCATTGTTATCAATAGAATTATTATTATTATTATTGAATTATTGTTATTATTATTATCATCATTGCAAACTATACCGATACAAAAGAAGGGAGAGATGTTGGGATATTGAAAAAGATCCTCAACTAATTAATTTGGTGTAGACTAACGACAGTTGGGTAGATTACAATGGAACTTCCCTATTAAGAGGACCTTTAAGGTTCAGAACCTTAGAGGTTCATGTTACTGCTAGAAAACTGGATCTGTTCCTCCAACAGCGCTCTTGCTCTCATCAAACAATAAAAATCCCTAACTTCTGAACGGGCAACATTACCCAAAGACTATGACGTTAGACGATAAAGGTAAATTTCCACTGCCGCGTAATTTTTACCAGCGTAAATAAAATAGAGGCAATGTATTAAAGGTCGCGCTTAAATGTAAAAGTTGAGTGACCTTTCATACATTGCCTCTATTTTATTTACGCGCATACGCACGTAGAAATGTTCGCGACAGTGGAAATCCACCCTTGTGTTGGGTTTCATAAATTTGCACTCTGACGTAGAAGTATTTCTTCGTTGGCTACAGCTCTTTCAAACAAACGTTGTCGGAAGAAGAGCTGCTAGAAAACCTGTAAGTCATGAGTAGTGGTAGTACATTTTCTCCATAAACCGAAATCACTCCACTAACTTCGCGACGCCACCGTTTGTGTACTTGAGAAATGCCGTCTGAGGAACAGAAATATCTGTAGAAATTCCATACTGATGACGCATCATTAGCCAGAATTGGGTGTTGCTTTTGACTGGTCATGCGCGGGGAAAATTTTCTTCAACTAATCAGAAGCTCCACTACACAGATCTGTATAGGTAGTGATACGTCACAAGTGTGGAATTTCTGTGCTCGTTTCTCCGACGTAATTTCGCGAGCAAACCTGTTTTCCCAGGCTAACTGATGACTATATATGGTTTACTAGATGTAAGATAAATAACTTAATCTCAGTGATTTTGCTTCTGTTTTCAATGCAATTTTTGTGCAGAAAAGTACGAAAAATTCACTTTTTGCTGAAAAATAGCTCTGTGGCTAGACCTCATGTCACCAATAACGGCTATCTCGTAACCATGGTAAAAGGGTGTCATTGATGAGTGTGAAAATTCTGTCTTACTCTCTATGAAAATATCTGTCTGTTCACAAGTAAATTTTAATACTCATTTTCAAAATTTTAATGATTATGCTTTACGCCTTGCTTTGCCAAGAGAGTATCTCGAAACTCAGGCCGTATAGGAGCCCATCGTAGGCTCCTGGGCCGTCTGAATGTACACTGAGAAGAAAATAGCACATAGTTAGAGCGTTCTTTAAAAGAGCTATAGTAAGAATTCATTACTAAATTCATTCGACCGAGCTAGGTCCGTCGGGCGTTGAATTGCTGCTGGGGAAGGATTAGATAGATTAAGTTTCGCTTGTTTGACCGCTTTTTTTTTTATAATTACGATTATGGGCAACCACTTACCAATCTTTTCGTGAACTATTATGTAAGCGTTCCGCAGAGCATAACCAAGTGAGTTTCTCACAAGGCAAGTGTATTTTCCTTCACTTTTCTTTGTAACGTTATCCAAAGTCAAAGTGACTTCATGGAAAGCGTGCCTGCTATTGCTAGTGCTAAGCCAATTAATGGGAGCTTGCTGGTTCTGTTTTATGACTTCATACTGCAATTTGCTGCCTTCAGTGCTGTTACCAGAGCTGTTGAAATGCATTGGAAACCATCGTAACCACTGGAAATGAGGCATGGCAGCACTATATGCCCTGCATAGCAACGTGGCGCTTTCTCCAACGAAAGCAGTTGCGTTTATCATCGGAATGACAACTGGCTTGGCACGGACTCGTTCTATGTGTACGAAAGAGAAAAAAAGATGGTCATACTATGAGAGTATCGTTGAAGTAATGACAAGCTGAAGGACTTTATGCATATATATGCACAACAGACTCGACTGAAGGAGTGTCCAAAATGAAACGGCCATTTTTTTTCTTCCAATTCGCCATGGACTGTAAATGTTTGTGAATCTGAGTTACACAATCATGTAAAAGTGAAGTCATTTTGCAGACAAAAGCACTTTTTTCACAAAATCGAATTTCTTCAGCTTTGAAGTGTTGATTTTAGATTGTTTTTAAGTAAGTAAGTAAGTAAGTAAGTAAGTAAGTAAGAACTTTATTATAAAAGAGAACGAGAAAAAGTATGACATTTTCTCCATAAAACGTGTAACTAAGAAGTTTCTGCCGGGAAGTTTAACGTTGTAGTCGTGCAAAACAACGGCAAAGAAATGTACAAAAAAAGCGTGCTGCACGAGCAAAGTTGCTTTTTTGCTAATTAGACATATTGTTGTTTTTCACCGTTCTCCGGCGTTGCCTTCGCCGCTTAGCATTACACGATTTTATATTTCAGGGTCGTAACATGGTATATGGACTCAGGGCTCAAAGCCCAAAATATGACCGGGATCAGGGCTCAGGGCTCAGAAGAATGGGATCAGGGATCACAAGGCTTTTGAGCCCTAATCATGGATCAGATTTATTACACGGTCTAAAAATCTCTTATCTCAAAATTTTTCCGCTTAATAAGGTTTGTGTCCATATAATTTCCTGGCCGAGGTACATTACCTATTCTTGCTTCCAGCTGGCGGCAGTTCCTGTCATACGAAGTCCTGGCTGTTTGACGAAAACATTGTATCATATTCTTAATTTATTAATTGTTGAGGGCACCGTAATATGAATCTCAAGTCAATTTTTTCCCTTTGTAACGCAACTCCTGAACGCGCTGTCAACGCCAGAAGGCAGAGAAAGCGCACTGAAAGCGATTTATACATCTTTTTTGCGAGAAATGGGGAAGAAGAAAAAGGACAAAAAGAAATCCTGTGACAGCGTAAGGTATGTAAGTACTTCCTTGAATTACTCCTGGCAAGGGTCCTAGCCTCGAGTTTCGGCCGATCAAACATAACACCGCCAGGACAACAGACAAACCGATTCATTGAAAGCGGAATTTACTGTATAGGTCCCGATTGCCTTATCGCCTCAAGCAAGTCAGAAGGCGACTATAAATCGAGGTTCGTATTTCTTGACCAGTAACTTAACTCTTACAGTACTTAAATAATTAGAATGGACGTCAAAAGTAGAATACGAAAGTACAATGAATTCGTGCGCTTTGTTGCAAAATAAATGCTTTCTCGCAATTTAATAAAGTCTGCTCTAATTGCATGGAGTTTTAAGGTTATCTCGAACTCTGATGAGAAACCGAGATCGGTTCACCTACCAGTACTAGTATTGGGCCGGGAAAGTAAAGGACACATTCCATTACTGTTGATAAACGCTTGTATGATAAATAGTCTTAAATTACAGTGTAGAATTAGTGAAAATAAGTCGAACACCAAAGACTTACCTCGGTGAAATAAAAGTAACAAAAACCTTTATAGTTTATTTTCTTTAGTTTTTTTTATAAAATAAACGGTTGAATTGGTGAAAGGAATATTGCATTCTAGGTACAAGTAGCAGAGTCTGCAGGAATTTAACATATTTTCATTTAAAATAATTACTTATAGCACTCAGCATGAAGGGCACCAGTAAGGGGCCCACTATTTGATTTTTGAGCTGGGGATGGGTTATTTTTTTCTTGCAAGATTTTTTCAGACCTCATTCGTGCAGTGGCTGTTTTGTTTTGCACAAAATTTACAGACTTTAGTGACAATATTGATCTACAAGAATTTTTTCGGCCCTTTGGGCTTTTCGGCCTGGGCTTATGTAATGGTTGGCCCCGAAAGGTATCATCACGTTAGATTTAAAGCCTGAATTTCTTAGTGGAGTGAGAACACCCGCTCCGAACGACTACGCATTCCGGCGGCCCAGCTGCTTTTTAGAATCAATAGAGACTCTACCAATCCTCGTTTATCTTTTATACCGGTCCTCAAAGCCATTACACACAGAGAAAGCTGGGTCCAAAGGCACCGGAATGGCTTTGAAAGTCGCACGGCAAGAGTAAACCTTAAGGAAGATATGGACGAGGAAACGAGCGCGGAGGGGAAAGGAGCGATAAAGGAAGGCATTGCAGAGCTTTGCGAAAGAATTCGGACGGGATGTACGACAGCAACGAACGAGAGGGAAGAGCAAAGAAAGAGCTGGTACACTTCCACTTGCTCTGAGTATGTTCAGAAGGAATGCGTCGGCATATGAAGAAGTCGATCTGCTGAAAGAGGTTCAAGGGAGTGAAGGACAAACTACAGTTCAAGACGCAGCCGAAGAATTTGAGATTATCTGTTCAAAAGGCGACGCAGTTGCTCTCAAGCACAATTACAAGAGGTATATCATCCTTTCTTCCTTGCAGTCCTTTTAAAAGATTTCCACCATAACGCAGGGTGACGCATTCCTGGAAGATCACATGGGTTTGAGATGGCTGGAACAGTTACAAGAAGATCCCCTTGTATACCAGACTGGGTACCGTGATGATAGAAATTCACCTAAGTGTTACATCGGGAAAGTTCAAATAATAAAAGAAGGAAACAACTTCTGTTTGAGCTGCCTTGAAGAGTAACGCCTAGTTGCATTGCTCCAGGGGTCAGTTGAATCAGATGATTCACCTGCGTCAGGTGGTGACGAAGGGGAAGGGGAACAAGCTCAGGTGGACAACTTTTCAGAGCCTATTAGATTTGAAGCTGGAAGGAGCTAGGTCTGGAAGACCTACAACCAGATATGTCCTCTGACTATTTACAATGGTTATTAAGCCAGGAAAAGCCATTAATGGGCTTGACACAGAAAAGCTGTTAAACTGTAGAACGAGTGGCTTGCGTCATTTAAGTTTCTACTTCATGTAAAGCAGGTATTTTGCTATTGGTAATTGATTGTGATCCTCACTGTAACACACACAGAGTGAAAGAGGAAATTCAAATAAGACTACAAGATCAACAGGGATAGCAGAATACAAAGCTCTGATAGAACCTACAACTTGCACTAAAAATTAAAGTTAATGTTTTTCTCATCAGCCCATTTGAGCATGTTCTATATTCTACATTTGGGGATAAACAAAGTTGCTTAACTTAAAATTTTGTGTAAAAACATGGATGGGATCAATTCTTTTATCAGGGCTCAGGGATCAAAATAACGGCAAGAAAATAGGGATCAATGGGTCCCGGATATACCATGTTACGACCCTGATATTTTGTTTGAGCAAAATATAAAATTATCGAGAGCTTCTCTTTTATCCCTGGCTAAATCTATATATTAGTGTTGAGGTCGCTAGCATACACAGGGCTGTTAATAAGGGCCGGTAGCCGGCCAAAACGGCCTGCTAGTTAGCCATCCTTGGCTGGCTACTTTCATCTCCTTCTACCATAACTGCTAGAGTATGACTCTCCTGCCCTCTCCTGTGGGCAGGGGAGTCATGTCAAATGCTCCTTCTCTCGTACCTTGCATTCCCGGCTCCAACCGCCTTTTTGGCTTCCTCCCTTTAGCCGTTTTTTTCGATTAAAAAATATAAAGCATTACTGCATAGTTCCTCCCTATTTCTCCTGCTTCCCACACTTATAGAACTCCCAACTCCCGCCCTTTCCTCTCTCGCCTCCCCTACCTCTCCCTCCCCAAGCAATGAAGCTCTTGATAAGGGGGGTTGTGGCTGTAGATCATGTGAGTCAAAGCAACACCTTACCATGCACGTCAACATAGTATGAATGGTTGATCCATCCAAGATGGTTACTGACGTTACAGGTGTATCTTCCAGTATCTGACGGTACCACGTCTTTTAAACGCAACACATACTTTCCATCCAAGTATGGCAAACGTCCTCTTCTCTCGTTAAAGGGTTTTCTGTTCTTGTACCATGCTATCGTGGGGTGAGGATATCCTTTCGCGGAACAGTCAAGTTTTACTGAGTTACCGACCGGTAGGGCTAACAGTGTTTTTTGTAGCTTGCGTTTTGACACAATAAACCTCGGGGCCGCTATAAGAAGAAAGCGAATGGTGTTTGTGTTAAAAGAAAAACCATTGCCTGCTTGTTAAGCTATAAGGAAGTGCCCTACTCGTTGCTATTCTTACCTGATGTTAAATTCCTGTTCACTGTAGGTGTAGGCAGCACTTTAAACAACAACAACAATCAAACAAAAAAGAATAATCATAGTCAGAAACTTTAAAACAATTTCAAAGAGTCAAAAGCGACTAACAAAACTGCCATCACAATACAAGAACCGAGGAAAGCAGCGGGAAACGCAAGATCTCGTCTGTATTTTAATTACAACAACAACAACTCCAACATTTTGTTGGACAAATTACAACGTACCAAAAATACCGAGAGTTGCTTGCGTCTGAGAGCTAATAGATTCCCACCTGTATATATGGCTGCGGGGAAGAGGGGAGATCGTAGGCTTTGCCTCGTCTTTGCCAACAGTGTGGCATATACGAGTTCAAATGTCATATTTCATTTAAGGTTTATCGGTATTCATCATGCCTTCCCAACAGTGAGTCACAAAAAGTATATGCCAATGAGGCATAAGTTAAGCCAAAACTTACAGTGCGGGGGCTTTCCATTCAACCCAAATTTCCGGACATTTCGGTTTGGTTCGACCGGAATATTGGGGACCAGCTTTGAAGGTGAACCTCTTTGACCTTTCTGGTCATTTCGGTCGGTCGGACCGAAATGTCCCTTTCCATTTGACAAAATTGTTGTCCCCTGTACCGCTCTGTGGCATCCTGTTGACAAGAACAATAACCAAACGCTCGGTGGCTTGGTTCGGGTCTTTGCGACCGGAATGTACCGTTCCATCGGGCAAGCGGAATTTCCGAAATTTCAAACCGAATTTTTGTTGAATGGAAAGCGACCTGCGACTACTCTAACCGGGGCCACTTAGACAAAGTTGGCCAATTGGATTACAGGAAAATAACAATACATTCCGAGAAAGTTAGTTGTCAGCCATAATTACCAGGAAACGAAATAAACAACATGGATCGAAATCAACCAGTCACAACCTACAGACAAGAAGAACTTTTGAACGCGCTGAACAAAGCCGGTGTCTCCTGAGAGGTCCGTTAGAGTGATGAGGGAGGCGAAAAGCGTAAACGTTACTAATAATTTTGGCTTGACGTCGCATGTTATTTTAAAGCGCGGCAATGGTAGGGAAGAAATTGCTGGTAGATCACTAAATAACAGCTTGTGTCAAACAAGTAATGTCTTCTAAGTGCTGGGGGGGGGCGCAGTCTGGTTAAAAGCGTTATTTTTGGTTGATTTCTACCCTTTCTCTTAACATTAAATATCTAGCCAAGATTTAATTCGATCAAAAAGTAACTCAATTAAGTTACAGTCCTTAGTTCAATAATTATTTGTGAATATTTGGATGATTTTTCGAATGTTTCTAATGTCTAAAATTTAGAGGAGGGGGCGGGGGGAATGTTTGAAATTTCGAGAAAAAGGGAAGATATTGGATTTGGGGGTTGTTAAAAATTGAAATATGAAGTAAATAATTAGTAGCAGACAATTACCAGATAGTCCGCCACCTCAACAAGTTGCCTCTGATCCCATTAGCGGACTAACTGGTTTATGTGTATGCCTATTCTACCCTCATATATTTCCTTTCCAAATCAACATCATTTCCCCCAAATTTTAACCAGTCCCCCCTAAAATAGTAAATTTACGAATAGAAAAACATTGTCTGGGGAAAACAGTTTGCTTTCTTGAAAAACGTTTGCTATGAATATTTCTTCGAGTAACTTATTGTTTTTTACGAACTGCTAATTGGCCCACAACCAACATTCTTGAAATGTATTGCCATTTTTCTGTAATCCATTTGGTCAACTAAGTCTAAGTGCCCGGTTTATAGTAGTCACACTGTAAAGTAAGCTGGCTCACCTGATTGACATAAATATGCCCTGATAACCTGGACTGAATAATGAGAACAACAAGAATACCCTGTCATTCCCCACCCCACCAAGAGGAAAAATACTTCATGATAAGGTGGCTGATAAAAGTAAGAAGTTAGCTAACACATTATTAGCAAAAATATCATGATGCCGATATTTGTAATAAAAGAAATAACTGGAACTTTCCTCAAAATCCGCAAAAATAGAGGTTATCCTGACAGAAAATTTGATATGTGTATATATATTTTTTAAAGAGAAAAGCAGATTTTGAAAAATAGGCTGTCAAAATTCGGTTGCTAGGTTAACATCAATTTTGACGTATACGTCACGACGACTTTAAAATGTTCTCAGATAAATTTGACGAAAACTCACTGAGTTTGGCGGTCATAACTTGAACGGTTTTGAAGTTATTCAAATTTAAGCGAGGGTGTCCTCTAAAGCGCTCCCCCCCACCAACGGTTTGAATAGGGTTTTGAGGTACACAACATACTTACTTACATTCTCGGATATACAGGCGAATGTGAACAACGTTCCTCCCTCCACACTTGTTCAGAACAATACACGAGTAAAGACCAGCGTCGCCTCTCTTGACATTCTTTATCTTTAACCATCGCTGCACGATAGTCACTCGTTTATGGTCGGCTGCTCGGAGTGTTTTATTGTCCTTCTCCCAGTGCACTTGGTACACTTCTCGACCTTTTCGTCTGATGTTACAGGAAAACTTTACATCTGTCTTTTCGCTAGCATAAAAAGAACCATTGCTATGTGGCTTCACACGGATTTCAGGAACTGAAAAAAGACAATTTCCTCAAGTAACCGGCCTGGTATTGTAAACGTGGCGCTAGCTGCAACGGCAGTGAGGGTGAGAACTGTTTTAGTTTGAATTCATTCGCAACAAACTCGTATAGCAGTCGTCGCATTCGCCCTCTCATGCTGATAAATATTATCAGTTTTCACAAGAAAGTTTTTGCTCTCACAACTTCACTTTGAAACTGATAGTTTTACGAACCATGAAATGGCCTATTGATACTTGACGTTGAAAAAAAACAACAACAACAACAACAACAAAAACTTCCAATGAACAATGCAACGGCTAAACGCCAATCAGGCTAAAAATGAATCCACTCCCTTAACCCTTTGCTGCACTAATCAAGATAGCTGATATGCCGACTCAAGAAAGTTAATATCTGACGTTTGAGAGACATGGGAACGAATTAGTAAGAAACTAATATTCTGACGGCACGGTTAAGAAGTGCGCTGGTGTTTGTATTCTCTCCTCGCTTCTCGCCATTCACAGGCTGATTATTGTGTCCAAGCAACTGTGAATAAAATCGTTGAATTAAATAAATATGACTCGCGTTTACTGTGTTGTTCAATCCATTTTCCACTTTCACCATCTGGCGAGGTTCCTTTTGTTGACTGGAACTAGAAGGGCCTTCTCTGATATGAAAGCCGGGTTTTCATCAATCGTATCTCCAAGGTAAACCCACATGTTCGCCAGCACTTCCTAACCGACGGTTACTGCTAGTTTAGTAAAGTTTATTTTCCAGTGGATCTCATATTCTTTCGAATTCGGAATAACTGTGTTTGGGTACTGGTTTAGGCATTTAGGCATTTGATCCTGCGCTCCTTTGGAATTAGTTCTTTTTGGACTGGCCTATATTGTAATAAAGTATTTCGCCTTCTATGTTTTGGCTTCAGCCCTTTCCCCGGGGTTCCGTACCACTGCATTAGTAGAGGAATACGTTTTCACAGATTTTCTGACCACCTCTCAAGGGTGGTTTTTAGTGGTTCTTTCGTATCTGGCGTGTCACATGTTCTAGCTTAGAACATATGATAGTGTTTTGCTACAGCTATGGCATTGGTGTAACTTAACTTGGATACACCCAATGGTATCGGATGGCTAAATAAACTTTTCACTTTGTATGTCTCTTGTTAGTGAAGTCAGAATCCATATCGAATAAAGATGGAGCTTTTGTTTACACATAAAAACGGGGATTTCGGCTACACTGCGTTGTTCTTTAAAACGGGTCGACACATCAGATAGGTTTTTGCGCCACATTTCTTAGGCAATGAACAGGGGTTCTCACAGGCCGGTGTATTTTTCATAACGACAAGCTAGTAATACAAGGCAAATGGCAAGCAGCAATGCATATCTCTTGGAAGAATAAACTTAAAGAAGAAATTTGTACTTGTTTCTATTCATAATATCATGGGCGATAAATTACTTCTTAATTTTGGCGCGAAAATTCAGCGTTAATTAGTATTATAATTTCACATGTAAAATAACAAAATTGCCATGGCAACCTTCCGTACGCCTCAGTGCCAAGATGGCGACAAAGTTTTAAACTGTTATAAAATCAATGAAGATGCCAGGGCATTTTAAGACGCTTTAGAAAACCTAAACACACGAAAGAGCACATTAAAGGATATTCTAACAGGTATTTTTTCGAAAAAGTCTGAAAATTCTGAACTTAAGCCAAATTTGAACTGTGAACTTTTGAGTGTGTGGATTTCTTGATCCACACGATAAATCAGGATTAACATGACAAAATTTCACGATTGCGAACGTAATTCATCACCCATGATATTAATAGGTAATCAAATGCCACACTTGTGAAAATATACCCTAATTTCACACGTCTCCATTACGCACTCTAGCTACTTATCAATTTACTCTTATGTAAGTTGATAACTTGTCGATGTCAAGTGGGTTATAAAAATGTTTTTATTTAAAGGAAATCAGACAAGTCGTTTTTAAACTGAGCACCAAAGATATGGAAAATAGAATTAAAGTCTCTAAAAAATGACTTATGAGAGAGATTTTCATGTTTAGAAGACACGCCCATCTTTCTTTTAAGGTCATTATTTTCAACAAGGACTTTCTGATACACTTCAATGACCTGGAAAAGAGAGGTGTATTAATTTCCCTTTCTTATTAAGTACCCAAATGTTACTGGGAAATGCGGCTACGAGGCACTTTCGACTTTCTTGTGCGGCGAGGGCGACGCTTGTTCGAGGGCGACATGATTTTAGGTAAGTACGGTTTTCATTGCATTTGAAGGCTTTACTGCATTTTTGCCGGTAAATTATTACATTTGTGGCCCGAGTAGTTTCTTCCTAAGAATAGATCGAGCTCTGTGCGAACTTCTCATATAATAATAAAGATGGTGTTGATGACGATGTTAATGATGATAATGATGATGATGAAACTGATGCTTCTACTGCTGATAATGATGTTGATGTTAATGAAAATGATGATCATGATGATGGTTCTGAAGCTGATGACGATGATGTTGTTGATGTTGATGATAATGATGATCATGGTGATGGTTCTGATGCTGATGATGTTGTTGATGATGCCAGTGCTGAAGCTGATACTGATGCTGCTGATGTTAATGTTGATGATGGTTCTGATGCTGATGTTGATGATGATTCTGATGCTGAAGCTGCTGCTGATGATGCTGATGCTGAAGCTGAAGCTGCTGATGATGGTGATGTTGTTGAAGATGGTGCTGCTGGTGTTGATGATGGTGATGGCGATGGTGATGGTGATGATAAAGATTATGATGATTCGAAAGGTTAAAAACAAAATTTACATTGTCTTTTAAAATGAAAGCTAGCCGGAAAAACTAAGGAAACTAAGGAAGGAAAACCAAGTGTTACGAAAAGAAATTCAAGATCTACAGAATCAATTGAAGAAAATCACTGACGACATGTCGCAAGCGCAGGGCAGAAGAAGACGAAGGAAATGTCACCAGGCAAAGAACATTTTGTAGAATATCTGATCAGTTGGACGACTTTACTTCTTCTTAAACTGCTGTCACTAAACAAATCCAGCAGCTGACAAAGAGAGTTAATAAGATGTCCATAAAGTGCGAACGCATTACGAAACCTCTTAACGCCTTTGAAGATCATAGTTAACAATACAACGTTAAAATCGTTGGATTGCCGACCGTAGCAGAGAACGAAACCTCCGAGCAAACAACACATCTCTGTCTGAAACTTTTTTCTGTCGTGGGGGTCGAGAATGTCAATGTAAATGATATCGGGTTCCTTTTCGCACTGCTTCTAACAGACCGAATGTTGTGGTATGTAAATTCGTTCGAAAGATTGCCAAAGAAAAGGTCATAGCTAAAAGAAATGAAGCGTCGAGCATAGCGGCAGCAGAACTGGATTTTCCAGGTAGCGTGGACGTCACTCACTTTGTGTTTAAACCATTTAACTCCAGGAACTACTCTACGAGAGTAACAGGTTTAAAAGAGACAATACTTTTAAATTCTGCCAGGCAAAAAATGGAGTTGTCTACCTCAGAAAATCCGAGAAGTTCAGTGGTTGTAACATTGAAATCTATCATGGATTTGCAAGAAATCAGTAATGAAGATTAATAAAAAGCTGAGTTTATATTTAATCTCATTATACTTTTACTAAATGAAGGCACCAAGAAATAAATCAATAGAGAAATACGGTAAAACTGTACTTAACGAGCTACCCTATTATAATTATACTGGCAATTTAGCTTTGCATCTTGGCCGTCTAACAACTCAGTTGCTTGCTCCTCACTATCTAGGAGAAATTTACTATTAGGTAAGTTATCTAGCCTACACAATTTAATTCAATCTATTCAAATTAAATTCTGACTTCAACACAGATCTCAATGTCTACCACAGCCTTCCTAATCAACAGATTTATTCTCTGTATTTCACACCACATAGCTTCAAGAAATCATTTGACAAGTTTTCAAAGAATGAAGTTCAAAGTTTTTCCCTTTTGACAACAACATTGTTAGTTTAAACTGTAAATTCGAGAATCTTTTAACTTTCTTAGATGACCGTGACTTTCATTTTAACGTTTGTTAGAGTCTATGAGACAAAAATCACAACCTCTAATGACAATATAAAATTTCAAGTCTAATACGTATCAGCAAGAAGTATTACAGTGATTACTTTGAAGCCAACATGTCAAATAATAAAAAAACGTGGACAGGTATTAATGAGGTATCGTTTCGCCGTAAGAAAAAGCTCAACACTGTTATTGCTATTAAGGACCCTATCTGTAAGAATAAACTAGTCAAGGATTTTTCACATATTCCTAATATTGCCGATGAACATTTTGCGTCTGATGGGAGTAAACGCGTAAGTGAGATTCCTTCTTCCCAACAACATTGGTTGTCTTTACACTAGGCTGTTAAGTAAGACTTAAGAGCTGCTAAGTTTTACTTAACCAAAAAATACGTGTGAAGGCCTAAGTAAAATCTCAAGTAACTTTACTTTGCATCTCATTAAAGTCGGAAAGTTGAAACGATTCAAGAAAGTTTCAAGTGACTTGAAAACCATCCTTAAAACCGACTTAGCGAACTTGCGGTCTCTAAGCTTTGAGAAAGGCGAAGCATGTCAATCAATCTTAATTATGTTGTGTGGCAAAATAGGCTTAAGTAAACCTGAAGTAAAAAAGATAGGTTGTGTGTGAAGCTTTCTTTTACTTGAAGAATTTAAAATTTACTTGTCTTGAAATATTTCTTAGCTTATTTAGGCTCTAGTGTAAAGACTACCATTATCTCGACTTTGTTAACAAAACTATGTCTCCAATACCATCTTCGTTTTTTCAACCAATAACATATGATTATCCAAAGACTAATATATTATCTCTGCCTTGTAAAAAATCACACGGTTTATACTCCTCTCCGACAAAGCTACTAAAATGCTGAATTGGCATCATAGCCCTTGTTCTTTCGGAACTATTTATTATTTCTATCAGCCTAGGGAGATACCCTACAAAATTGAAATTGTCCAAAAATGTGCCTGTTTTTAAATCTGATCACGAGAAGGACCCAAATAATTATAGACCTATGTCTTTACTGTCAAACTTCAACAGAATATTTAAAAGGCTTATTTATACTAGAATGATGAAATACATTGAGAAACACAATTGAACTTTCTCTTCCCAGTGTGGCTTTCGCAAAGGACATTCTACTCAACATGCTATATAAGACATCGTTAATGCAATCCAGGCCAATATGAATCAAGGTCTACACTCTTGTGGAGTGTTTATTAACCTTAATAAAGCTTTTAACACCATTGATCACAATATTCTACTTCGGATAAACTCAACTTCTACGGCTTTCGTAGATTAGTCAACCAAAAACCGCACCCTAACCACTCAAATTGCTGATCACATAAGTTGTGAATTTATACATTGCGTTACGCTCGTTGTATTTTTGTTTAATTCGCTAATTTTTGACCAGTTTTGACATTTATCATTATTATCACAGTTGACTAGCCTCAGAGTTTTACAAGATCTCATCGGAGAATACAGTTTTTTTACGGAGTTATTTCATTTCAATTTTTGCTATTTTGTCGTTCTTTTCTTTTCTACGATTGGAGGAACAATAACCTCTCACCATATGCTTCTACGATTTTACAATAAACGAACCTTAATCAATCGTGGAGAGTCAGGTTCAACACTGCGAACTCCACCCTTGGGAACGCGACACAGATCAAATAAAGCCACAATCAGCTTTGGAGTTCCTCAAGTTTCCGTTTTAGGCCCTCTTCTCTTTTTTCTGTATGTTAATGATTTCCACCAGTGTTCTACTAAACTTAAATTCTATCTCTTCGCTGACGATACCAATATAATTTTTGCTGAAAAAAATTGAAAGTTCTTAAAACGGTTGTCAATACTGAATTGGGCAAACTCTACGACTGGTTAACATCTAATAAGCTGACTCTTAATATTTTTGAGTAAATGCAATTCTGTCATCTTTCATCCTAAACGAAAAAAGCCTAATTATCAGCCTAAAATATGTTTATTTGATGACGGGAAAATTGAATATGCTACTCTTGAATCCAAGAAAAATATTAAATATCTTGGGATTTTGTTTAATAAAAACCTTATCTATTACCTGGAAACATCATATTGATAATCATCAAAACGGTTGGCTTACTTGCGAAATTGCGTCATTTTGTACCCCGGCAAATTCTTCTTAAAATTTATAAATCACTTATATACCCGTATATTATATATCGACTTGCTGCTTAAGGCCAAGCAGCAAAGACACATCTATGTATTTACATTCGGCGGAGCTAAACGTAGTGGCAGTGACAGAGAATGTAAATACTTTCCTATTGGTATGAACGCATGTGAGCCGCTATGGCGTTAATTGACTCTATTGTTATTAGGTATATAAGGTTTTGACAGTTTTCATGTATTCATCTCAGCTCTCGAACCATCAACTTTTATTTTTATATCTTACTTTATTCATCTATCTATTGATTTTTTACCTTTAACCCCCAGAGGTTGTGCGGCCGCATCGGTTGGGGAATACGTTCCCAATTTTTTCCCATTAGGTTTTTGGGTTTTCGTATCAGGCGGCGCATGTAAATAGTTTAGCCTGAGTGACTTTATTTAGGAATATTTGTATACCATTCTTTAGTTATGATGTTGAACTTTGTATGTTATTTGGACGGCATTAAACACTCAGGCTCCATAGTTCGAGCTGCACACCCATTCCCGTCTTTTAGTCGTGAATATAAATAGGAACGAGAAAACCCTATTGCTACAAAAAAGAGCTCTTGGGATAATAGACTTCTCGGACAGACGCGAACACACAATACTTCACTTCATTGACGCCAACGTTTTACCCTTGAATTTTTTATATTATCAGACTATATCTAATTTTATGCATGATGTCCATAACAATGAGGTAGCTTCTGGCATTCTAAATCTATTTAAAGAAAAAAACAAGTACTTGCCACTCTTACCAATGCAAGAGCATCGGCTTTAGGAAATTTTTATGTTCCCAGTTCCGATCTAGAATCATATAAACTGTCTTTATTTCGCTTTGGTGCAAAGCTGTGGAATGAAATAACCTGTCACATCCGACATCTTCCGAAGAATAAATTCCAAAAAACACTCCGCAAATTACTTTTTGACATTTAAATTCAGAATATGACTATATTGATACGCCCACCTTAATTAAAAAGGTAAAATTAGCCAAAAATGTCGAAAAATAAATTCTTGCATATTAGCCAGTAGTTTCTTCTTTTTGCAATTTATTTATTTAATTCTTTCTTGTTTATCGTGTTATCTAGTCTTCATCTATATTACGATTTTTATTTCATCTATTTGTAACCTGAAACTTTCCTTAGTTAGCCTTAGTCTTAATTTCATATTTTGCACGCATTGTCCCGCCTCGAATAGCCTTGTTAGCTGCGGAAAATGCTTCTATACTATAATCTGTTTATTAATAAAGTTTGTTGTTGTTGTTACAGTTTTAGTGAAGTTAAATTCTTCATATAGATAACTTGTTTACTACAAAAAGATATTAAAAGTAAAAAGAAGTAAGTAAGTAAGTAATCGATTTAATAACAGGGTTTCCACATTGTGGCTCTTCATGCCATCTGTTACTTATAACTAGAAATAAAAAATATATATATATGTATCATATATTTACAATAAACAATATACTATGAAAAAAATAATAGATCAAAAAACGATTTAAACAAAACGTGTTTACAACGATCGTATGAATAAAACTTAAACTACAATTAAGATAAGCTGGCCTGTGCCTGGTTCTTTAAGAATTTACGAAATGCGCGAACTAAATGGCTTAAAATTCGTCACACTTCTCTTTAAGATTATCAGGATCGAAGGTTATTAAAAAGGGTAGCCGCAGTGTCCTGGACATAGAGCCCGAAGAGCGCAAACTTCTAGACATTTATTGTGCAGTCATACTTCGACACTCTTGCGTTACGTGTTATCAGTGACATTCTGTGGAGCAGTTGTTTCAGTGAAAGTTATGGACCAAAATTTTATCGACACTCGTTAAGCGCAGAAGAAGTTATAAGGTGCGTATAACTGTGTGTATACTAGGAGTAATCGGAGCTTAGAAGATTGCGTTCCATATGTTTGTAAGGCGTACAGGTAGGAGTTGAGGAGGAAGGGTGGATGGTTATTGCGATAGATTAAGCCCGGTTTCCATATGATCGCTACGATCGCTGTGATCGCTGCGATCACTGAGAAAAAAAAATTCAGCGATCATATGGAAACCACTCTCCGGCGATCGCTGAGATAGAACTTTTTATATCTCAGCGATTGTTCTCGCTGCAAAAGTGGTTTCATATGATCGCAATGATCGCTGCGATCGCTGAATTTTTTTTTTCTCAGCGATCGCAGCGATTACAGCGATGGTAGCGATCATATGGAAACCGGGCTTTAATTTGATCATGGCATATTTTAAACGTAAGGATTGCTTACAGCGAAACCTTTATTTAAATTGTGTATCATTATGAAAAAGCCTTGAAGGCTAGTGATATCGCCAGTATGGCCCGTCTCAATAAGTGCAGTAGTTTGGTCGAGTTTGTTGATTTCAGTGACTTGAATGGAGCTTCTGTGGGCTGTTTATAGGTTTTTCCAAAGAAATAACATAAACCTAAAATCAAATGTTCGTTTGTCCTGATCCGAAAATATCACAAGTCATGAGGAAACGGCGCCGCCGAGCTTCACATCTCGGTACATTTACTTTGTGGCACAACGGCCGCCGAGATACACAACTCTGTAGATTTACTTTGTGGCACAACGGCCACCGAGCTACACAACTCGGTAGATTTACTTTGTGGCACAACGGCCGCCAAAACTTTGAAAGATGAACGTTTTGAGAGATTCAGCAAACACAGATCGATAGTAGACCTTCAGCAAACTCTTGAAATATGTACGCTTTACGAAGATTCAGCAAACTTTTAAAAGATGAACGCTAAAAGACCTCAGCAAACGCTTGAGGACGCAGGAATCACCACGTGAGTTAGTTCGTCAAAGTGAGGCAAAACGTAAGCAAGCGCCTCAAAGCGAGGCAAATGTGTGCCGACGACGACGACAAATGCAATCTTTATTAATTGCACAGGGCACCCAATAATGCACAGAACACCCAACACAAATTAGTGGTTGCTATCTCGTATCTCGAACGCAATAAACACTGGGGGAGTTTGCCAGACACGAGTTCACAAATCTTTCATTGGAAACCTTGCCAGACACTCTTTCTCTCTCTTTGACCGGAATAAGACTTAGCCCCAAACAAGCAAGACGAGTGAACAACGGCTTGCTTCTGACTAGCAGAATGATGGACGATTGCAGAAATTCGCCGACAATCAAATTCTGTGCTGACTTGTTCCCTGCTCACAGGTGTCCTTCCGCTATAAAGTTTAAAATAAGACTAGAATGCGCGAGTGTGAATTGCTGGTTTTCAGTGTCACGCCATTCAAAATAGTTCAAAATAAAAATCAAAACCGTTCAATAGATAAAGTCCAGAATCTGGGAAATGAAAGGAGGTACATATACAAAGACCCTCGCCAAGATTCAGGTCAGAGGAATATTTCGTATACGAGATATCCGAAGAAATGTTTTACCCAAACTTATAGAGATTTGTGTGGAGACCCCATGCTGGTGCTCACCCGGATGAGTTCCAACATGGCGGACGGAAACCAACAGAAACATCTGTCACCGAGGTTTGCTACAAAAGCGTGAATTTATTCTTCGAGAAACTCATAAACGTTAAAGTAATACTTTTTCTAATACATGAACCGTTTAGATGGCAAAATTTCCTGAAATGAGTCAATTTTTTAGAAATAGCGAAAAATTCAACTTCTTATTAAATCTTTTCCTATGGTTTAGAATAAACTATTCTAGAAACTGAGAATGTTTTGCTCAAAGCTGGGTAAATCGACCTGAAACTGTGCATGGAACCTTGCGTTTCCTGTATTTATCTCACCTGTTGTATGGAATATGAGTGAAAATCTTCCCTATGAATCGGTATATTTCAAAGAGCTACACAACGAGCCGACAGTATACAGAGCGGGGGCAGCTGTAGTGTCAACTATTACTAGTTTATTTTTGTATAAAACGCTGACACTCTGACCCTGGTCCTTGCCTGAATCTGCAAGAGCTATTTGGAGTACTGTATTCCATTCGTTCAATCAGATCAGGTTGGACTGAGACAATACCTGAGCAATTCAGTCGTTGTAAAAAACAACCTAACCTGAAATAATTCCGTACGGGCTTGACCGAGAATTAAAACATTGCGATGACGGGACGCACTTCTCTATCCATTGAGCTAATCAAGAAAACTGGAGAACTAGCCCTGCGAGTTCGTAATATGCCCTTTGGTGGAAATTACATGAATCGAAATATATGAAATGAACCATATTTTGAACTGCAGATAAAGATATGCCTGTCGGGAGATATGAAACGGTAAACATGATCTTCGCAGTAAAATGAGCAACATACCTACCTGAGCAAGTTGTGCAGAATGATTCTTTAACCGGTATCAAAGCCATAAGAGCTGCTAAAAACACCCTCTGTAACGGCGTAAACATGGTGCAAGCTAAGGTTTTGTTCCTTAACTTCTCACCTTGATACAGCCAGACAACACTAACCTGCAAATAAACACGGAAAGTTATGTGAGTGGCAGCCATGATTCAAAATTTCGACAGTCATGCAGAGGAGACGCGTCACTCTTGATTGCTTCTGTAGTATTAGGTGACGAAAAAGTGGAACAACATGCAAGTTTTTTTAAGCCACTGCTCACTTAATTGCCGACCTCATCTTGCTGAAAATCAGGGGCGCGATTTAGTTCAGTGTTTTTGGTGTGACCTCGTCTGCGTTTCCGTCGGAGTTCAGCACCTAAAACACTGAGATACCCTCCAGAATAAACACGTACTTTAAAAAGGAGAGTGCTTTTCTAAACAGCCACTGATACTAAATGTAGTCAGAAAGTACCTATGATAGGTCGGGGTAAGCTGTAGTCTTGCAACGTACGTGCCGTGATCTTGAATACCAAGATAAAGAGTATATTAAACACAGGATGTTGTTTCAGGCACAGGAAGTGACGAATCCTCTAAAGAGGAAATTGAATATTATTATCTCCTGTGACCTTACTGTATTTTTTTTTTTCACTTTTGCCTCAATTTTTTCACGAACTTGTTTAGTTCCTTTTTACGTAGGATGCGTAACCTTCAAAATAGGGGGTTTTAGATAACCTGGCATACGTTCAACTCACTCAATTTGTCAAATGAAAGTGAAATCTCCCGGGGTTAAATAACGAAGAATCATATTCAAGTTCCGAAGGAGAAAGAAAAATTAAGTGGCCGTTTGTTTGCTTTCCCCTTAAATCTCACATCGGAGTCGTGCAGAGAAAGAAAAAAGTGTAGCAAAAATCGTAATACACGTGCAGAGTTGTTGTTTTGTTGAAAAATAGCCTTTAATGAATGCTGAAATACCCTTGAATACTTTTGAGTGTTTTAATTTCCGGCACTAACAGCCACAACTTGATATTCTAATTGTTCTCAATCAAAACAAATATTTAATTTTGAACTTGTAACTTTACTAAATGTTTATTAAACTCTGAATGGACAATTCATGTTACCAAAGTGGTAACGAAGGGTAAACTGACAGAAATTTGCACTCCGTCACGTGCGTTATAACTGCTCTTTAATTACATGTTTGTAACAGATAAGAAATAAATCTGATATTGGCAAAGACTAAATGATTTATTTTTAAGATAGTGTATTAATTAATAGAATAAACGGGGCTACAATTGACGTGGCTTGAGTATGACTTGTAAACAATAAAATAGTGTGGGATTTTTATTTTATTTTTCATTTTACATCCATTCGTATATCCTTAATGTCTTGAGAGCTACCCAGCCTGTGTACAGCCACCCCCCACCCCCTCCCCTGTCTAAAGGAGAAGGAGTCCTGGAAACACAAAAACGTTAATCAAAATTAACGAGTAAAATAAAAAATATATATAAAAAAAAACCTTTAATTTTTAAAGACCGATTCAGGCACGTTCCTAGTTTAAAAATCGTGAAAAAAGCGCCACATACTAAGACAATCATCATTTTGGCGGCCTTTTTATTTCGAATCTTTCCAAAATGCTAAAATTTCCCGCAACACACCGCGAAATGACAACGAAATCGTAGTATGAGCTTATTACTAAAAATGTAGATAGTATTACATTATGAGGCAAAGCAGCTCCGGTAAAGAGCACAACTTAAGCTTACGTCTCGTTCTGTTTTTCCCCTTTCCGCTGTTGTTTAGCTGGCTCTCTGCATATCTCTTCATTGACAGAGAAATACAGGAAACTATTCCACTCCAATTTCCGGGATGTTTTTCAGTTTTTTTACGAGAAATACTCTTCGAGAAAACCTTTTCTTGTTGAATGTCTGCGAAGCTCTCGCAAAGCGAGAGCGCTGCAAGCTGCAAGCGCCTATATATAAGGCCTGAATTTTGGTGCGAATGTCACACACCTCTGTGACTTGTGATTGGACGTATCATTTTTCTCACACGTGAAGAAACATCGTTTGCTCCCCTGATTTGCCAGAACTCATTTGCGTATGAAAAACCTGCGACATAGTTTTTTGGTGAGTATTTCTCAGTATGTATATAATAAAGTTATATAGCCATCTCTGCGAGCAGTTATATGTATGTTTTGTTTTCCCAATTCAGACCACGTGATGTTCTTTAGGGAATTTTTTTTTGTCTTTCCATAAATTATGCTCACATATGCGCATGGATAGGACGAAGTTTGAAAAAATTCTCTGGGGCACGATCACGTGATCTGATAGCACAAACAAAACAAATAAGCTGAGAAGGTCTATTTGACATAGCGTTCTGGGAATCGAAGTGGATTTCTCCAATTTCATTGGTCTGTGCTGCTGTGTTGAATGAGAGTGAGACACCTTTGAAAAAGAATCCAGTTTTTACTATTTACATTTCTTCAAGTAATGCGATTCTTCTACTTCTCTCCAGCTGGTTTTCCTCTGTAGCGGGTCCTTCTCTAGCCTGTGGGCATCCGCCTATCACGCTCCTTCAAAAAAACTGGAAGAGGAGGAGAAGATGGAGGCCGGAAGGAGAGAAGACACACACAGGGCTTGCACTGTAAGTATCCCGGAGAGCTCCATACTATTCCTTATAACTATGTTATAAGGAATTGTATGGAGCCTTCCAGGAGACTTTTCTTCATTAGCTTAGGCGCGGCGGATTTTGTCACGTATGATCAGCGCGAGGTGTTTTTCCCGACACCCTTCTGTCAGGAAAATGTCATCATATGAAAGCAAACCAGACACGATCGCGTCGGCAGGCCGAAGCCGGCAAAAATAAAAGGCTTTTTTTCTTCCATTTCAGAGGTCAGGCCCGGTTCAGACGCCGCTCCACTCATGTGCCGAACCTAACTGAGTTTGGTTCGACTTTGGAGCGACATTGGCGCGACATCTGATTCGGACGGCGCACCGTGTGTCGAACCTAATCTTTATTTCATGTAGGGACTTATGGGAAGATTTATAAATTATTATTATGTATGCATTTGATTCGGCACATGAGAAGAACGCGGTATGAATCACCTGCCGCTCCAATGTCGAATAATGCGACAGACCCTGTCGAACTTAACGTTTTTGCCGCACCAAATTAAAACTGCCGTACCAAACTGATTCAGACGCCGCTCTTTTACCTCAGTTAGGTTCGGCACATGAGTGGAGTGGCGTCTGAACCGGGCTTCAGTTTTGTTTCGATCTGGTCAAAATAAATCAGGTTTTTAGGTTCTAGGTAATAAAATATTGTCTTATTCAGCTCTCAAGGACCTTTAGAAAACGAGATAATTGACTAGAGAAAGAAGCGTAAAAACGCTTTTTTGGAAGAAAATATTTTTTAATTCCCGCAGCAATTTTGCGAAATCGCGGGAGCGCAATATATTCAGTTTCTTCCAGAGCCGTCATGATTAAGCAGTGTAATGCCATCACAACTAAAAATGAATTTAGTTTGTATCGCAAAAGCCGCGAAAATAGAGATGAAAAAAAAAATGGATCGGAAAAATTCATAAAATCACTACTCGCCGTCTCGCCGAAGCTTTGTCAAACAAATCGTTGGTACGGTTTGTTTAACCTAACCTGGAAAAGGAGACGTCTACACGCAGAATACATTTCATACTACATGTAGTTGTGATTTCGGGAACGGACCTCGGGAGCCTCACTGGCGTAATATCTTCTACATTGAAGAAACTACAGCAGAATCGCCCCGCTCCAATTATGACTAGACAGTACCAGTGAATTGCTTCAAAATTTAAAGCGGCCGAAACTTATTTCCATCAGCGCGTAGTTGGTTAATTAAGCAATAATAATGCACAGCACTGTAAATAACACGGTTCTAGAATATCTGACGGCTTCGCGTTTTGTTCGTCGCTGCATGCCATTTAATAGCTTATAAGCTAACAAAAAATGTATTAATACAAACAAGCTCGCTGTTCCACAACCCCGCACTGAATTTTAAAAAAGAAGCCTTTCTTATAACGGAAGAGTGTTGTAGAACAGCTTGTCTCTGAAGGTGCGGCAATATTTTTTTTAAAGGAAAATTAAAAAAACCTTAATTTAGATATATGTATCTTTACACAAGGCCTCAAAGTAAAGCAGGTTTTTTTTATTGAAATATCGTTATTATTTAGTTTTTATCTTAGATTCATTCCTAGCTTAGTTATTAGTAGTTATTTTTCTATACTTGAATGTAAATGTACCTGAAGGAAATATCGTGTATTACCTCATGAGAAGACAGAAAAGGCTTGCACTGTAAGTATCCCGGAGAGCTCCATACAATTCCTAATAATTTTGTTATAAGGAATTGTATGGAGCTTTCGAGGAGACCTTTCTTAATTAGCTTAGGCGTGGTGGATTTTGTCACGTATGATCAGCGCGAGGTGTTTTCAGGGGCACCCAACAGATCTGTTCCTCACAATATCTGTTCTACAGAGAAAATTTTGCTGGCTGGGAACTGAGGTTTCGGCTGTTCTCCTGGGAAGTAAAGTCTTAAATCTACGGTCAAGAATTTATCAAAGGTATCAAAAATTCTTGCTGGAGGTATTTTATTCCTCTAATTTGCTAGAAATTTTCTTTGTGCGCGAATTGTGCGCGCGGAGTCGCGCGCTGATAATTTATTTACCGCTGATCAAAAAATCTGCGTTTTGTTCGTCGCTGCATGCGATTTAATCGCTTATAACCTAACAGAAAATGTAAATGTACCTGAAGGAAATACCGTGTATTACCTTACCTCAACGCTGTGATGTGTGTAAATTTGTCTTTTGCTATGGTTTTAGACTATACGACTTCTCCTGACTATCAATTGTGCGTCAAACAAGCGCGATAATGAAATAGTCGAGGTGCCATGGTGTAGCACTTTATGACAAAGTTTTAACTGGAAAACTTGTTACCATCTGATGTACACCTGTATAGTCTATGTTTGTAAGCTCTGCCTAAAGAATCACTGGGTTACACTGCACCAATGGGTGTGCCACCTAAAGTGCAGCCTATGTTTGTTAACTCTTTCTAAAGAATCACTGGGTTACACTGCACCCATGGGTGTGTCACCTAAAGTGCAGCCTATGTTTGTTAGCTCTACCTAAAGAATCACTGGGTTACACTGCACCCATGGGTGTGCCACCTAAAGTGAAGCCTACGTTTGTTAGCTCTACCTAAAGAATCACTAGGTTACACTGCACCCATGGGTGTGCCACCTAAAGTGCAGCCTATGTTTGTTAGGTCTACCTAAAGAATCACTGCGTTACACTGCACCCATGGGTGTGCCACCTAAAGTGCAGCCTATGTTTGTTAGCTCTGCCTAAAGAATCACTGGGTTACACTACACCCATGGGTGTGCCACCTAAAGTGCAGCCTATGTTTGTTAGCTCTACCTAAAGAATCACTGTCTTACACTGTATTCACGGACGTTTGCCTCACGCTCTCTTCAAAGACAAAAAAGCTATAGTCTGTTTGGCCAAAAATCAAGCTTTGTTTCCCCTATAAAATTTGACACCATATTAGGGCCCCGAAAGACGTTAAAAGTTCC